TGGGGAGTACCCATTTACTTCTTTCGTCCAACATGAAGACCTAGGAGTGGTTGCAAGCATCTAATTGGTTTAGTCTGAATGTCACGATCTACCTAGGTTTACGGATGTTTATTCAACTGACACTAATCCGGTGTTTGATCTGTGGACGTATGCCGCGAGCAAGAAGCCAGCGAAACAAACGTAGTCGCCAAAAGTTCTTTGTGCAGAACATGACATGGTAAATTACACCTGGGTGCTAATCCTTTAGTAGGACATCAAAAGAGCCATTTGTAATAAAATGATAGGCAACTTATATTGACAGTTCCTCTGATTTACAACTTGGGAATGGTTAGTCCACCACATCCAATCAGAATTAAGCTAGTGGGTGGGCATACCTCAAAGTTTAGAGGATATTAAACTAACTCCATACCAGAATTATTTAGTAGACCGAGGCAGATTACAAGGTGATTGCACGACTAAAGGCTACTCCGAGATACGCACTCGTAAATTTGGCGTGAATCGAAGGGAAAAGATTGGAACAAAGAAAGCTTCAGTAAGGTAGATATTCGTTTGATTTTTGACTCACACATTGCAAACGCCATAAATGTAAGTACTAATATTATGTTTATGCAATTACTAATAGTATTGTTAGAATGAAGAATTACTTTGTACAGTTTCATTTGTATACTTATTTGATATTTGTATTGGAGTTAGGAAATGATTTATGTAAGCAAGATTATGAATGTATGTTTGAATATGTTCAGAGCATAGATAGTTACATATTTATATATTTGTATGATATGTGATACAAAATAGATGTGTTGGTTATTATGTATTACTGTGAATCAATTATCGTTGCCTGTATACGAATAATTGATATCGTGCTTTATGATGTGTTATTATGTTATGATTTTACATTGTGTTTACCGTTCATGAATGTATGAGTAATTCGGTGGGAATGGATGTGTGACCCATGAAATTAGATAACCTAATCTGATGATAAGTTATCTGGGATTAGTGCGAATTATGTGCCCAGCAAAATAGTACACCCTCCTTGTGTTTTATAGGAAGCTCTCCGGGTGGGATAACTTCAGTTAGAAGGAGAGTCCCGTGAGTCTGAGAGAAAAGACTGAAGTAAGAATGTCGGTACAGTCAGGGTCGACGGATTGGAGTCCACGGTTCGACGAGGAAGTCGACGGTAAGGGAAGTAGAGGTGGAGAGGAAATTGGAAGAAGCAAAGGAGAAGTAGAAGTGGATAGGAAAGTTGAAGGAGTAAAGGAGTGCAGGAGAAATTTAGAGAGACAGATGAGTAGAACCAAGGACAAGGCGAAATTCTCACACTGATTCAGATGATGAAATAGGCACAAAAGGGTCGAGCGATTGGGAAGCTCGCATGTTGAAATTTTATTATTAATTAAATTGTTTATTTAATTCCACCCCTTTGTACTTTTGTATTTAACTGTTTAATTTCACCCTTTAGTACTTTTGGATTTAACTGTCGGCATTGCTGACTGGGGGCTCAGAACCATATTCACCTACTTAACTTCTGAACCATAATCGAGCCTGGGTGGGTGCCATACCTAAATAAATATTGGAAACACCCCACCCCATTTTCATATAATTAAACCCCATAACACTCTAGGGTATAATAATTTAAAAAACCTATCGTAACACTGAATTTAGTTTAGTATCACAGGTGAATATAAGAAGTTTTGGTAAACTTACTATTCCTTTCGAGTATATAGATACAATTGTTTGCCAATATGTATACAGAAACTATTCCAAAGGCATTTGGGAGAGGGGCATAAAGTGGGAGATAGTTGGTACGCATGGCTTGTCTTGCATATAACATCAAGAGCATTAGGTGTACATTCAGAAAATAACTCGCTTCAGAAGTAAACATTTCTGGCTATTAAAAGCCATCCTATTTTGGAGTCAATGTTCTCACGGAATGCTATACAGCCCGCACTCGAAGAAAAATGGATCAGTTAGTTATTCTTAATCTGAATCCTCAACAAGATTAGCATGGCATATTGAAGTGACCTGCAATTTTATTGTAGAGGTAGGAACAAAACAGAAACTCAAAACTGCTCTTAGAAACAATTTTTATTTTACTCCATATTGTTTCGCGTTTCTGACTCATGCTGTTGAATTTGATATTACCAGACGAGATATAAGACTGCACAGGCCTAACGTCATACTATATGTCCTGTTCAAAAACTTTGAGGATTGAACTTGATATGAATAGGATATGCCAGTAGTGAATATCTGGGCTTTCTGACTCCAAATTTTTTTTTGTATTGGGACGATAGCCTGATCTTTACCCCCATCGCCCCCGTTCAAAACGTATTTGAAAACAAGTTTGTTGCGCAAAAAAAATCGATTTCATTGTTCATAACTAATACGAGACCATCATGGAAATAGTCACCGTCATCGAACAAAAATAGAGTTTGATCCAGAAACACCCCTATATGCTCACTGCTACGATTTTTACAGACTCGTATGCGTAAAACCTGTTATATTTCTTTACACTAAATGTTACTATACCTAACATTTGCACAAAATTTACTGTAATGACCTGTCCAAAAGGTCAACCTCTGTAAAATCAAGCTTAATAATTATCAAATCCAATTACTTTACCTACTACGTTTCTTCTGATGCCTTTTGCTCGCTTTTTAACTTTTGTTATCTGCAAGTTTTAGACAGTACATTTTATTCCGCAATCCGAAAAACTCAACGATAGTTACAAATTTCATCTTTGAATTGTCCTATACTTTTTTATTATTGTCACAGTGATATTGACTGTTCTTTGGATAATATTAAAGATCAAACAGTTCGCGGCAAACGTAAAAATCTTTGTAAATTTTATCAGATTATATATTGTACGTTGACGAGTAAGTATCTGTAAACAGCAGTTCTGCATCAAGTTACTTAACCTTGACAAAGTCATAGTGAAACCATTACTCTAATAACTTTGATAATTCAAACACTACCATTTTGACGTACACTGGCTTGTTCAACATTAGATTTGTCTTTCTTTTATGTACAGCTACCAAGTTCTCATTACAAATGTTCATACTTACAAAATCATCAGATGCAAAAAATTATTACTACGTTCCACGTTATTACAGATCTTAATATTTAACTTACTTGCTAATATTTTACATCGTTTCGCCAAAAACTCTGTTGTTCTGAGTTTGAAAAAGTTTGTTTTTAATTCCTTTGCTGAAACTGTTCTTCGGCTATAATCCAACGCGACTAATTAAATTATAGCACACGATGAACTTTGTTTTATTATCTATGACCAAGTATATGTTTCCAATTTTTGTGATGAAAAACGTATAGCAGATATGGAACTAGTTTATGAACAACAGAGTTGTTTGTGGTAAATTTACCTTGTAAATAACCATATTGTTTTTCTGCTAATAATCTGTAGTCGATCAGCAATGATTCTGGACAAAGCGGATAATATGTTTATCACTTAGCTCAGCAATATATTCAAAATCAACTTATACAAAACAATCAATGTTACGATTGTATCAGTTTCATCAAAAGAATGTTTCTTACTAAAAAAAAAAAACCTTCATGCCACATTGGCTCGGACATTACATACCCTAAGATTATTCGCATAAAGAAAAGTTTAAAACTTGATGGAGCTGGGGGGGTCGTTGTCGGGGAAATATTTATTGATGGTGTTGGCATACTGTCTAGTTTTATTTTCCTGTACTTTAATAACGAATCACAGCGTAATCCAGGTGCTGAAAAATACTAAGCCTGATCTAACAAAGAGTTGCTAGCGCGAGCAACGATACATCTGTGATCAGACACAAGTCATGATAAACACAGACAGCAGCCGAACGAGTCCCAGATCGTATTTACTATAATTTTGCATTTCTCTAGTTTGGTTTTCTATGAAAACTTTTAGAGATTTGAAATTACTATTGTCAAATGATGGAAAATTTATACCAAAGACCATTTATCTTGAATAACCTCACAAAATTGCAGGAAACATTTTGTGTTTATCCCATTACATATCATTTTTGCTGACAATGAACTTGGAGGTGTGATAAACATCAGAACAAAATATTCGATTGGTGCTTTTGCTAAAGCGAGTAATATAATTCGAGTAAAATATGAAGATAATGCTGAGCGTACAAAAATATTTTTGCATGAATGTATCTGGACGCTATTTAACGATGACATTCCAGATTACAAAAATATCGCTAACTTGTCTTTGCAAACTAAGTTTCAACCACATCCGGTATACAACTTGTACGATCTAGCAAAAACAAAACAAAAAACAACAACAAAAACAAAACAAACGGCGTTATCTGAGATGCTGAAACAAAAAGGTTGCTGGTCATAACAATCATGGCTAGTTAAACATAAATATTCGAGGAACCAGCACTGATCAACTTTGTTATAAATCACATAATTTTGTATCTGAAATATTTCATTGGATTATAACCATGTTGATTAGTCATCGACCTTCTCAATAATGTTAAAACAGATAATCGTCTGGAAAATCTTAATCCTGATACATCAAAACATAGCAGATCTGGTGTTAATTTAAAAAAAAACCTGCTAGACATCTTGTAACGTTTGATTGTGACACAAAGACAAAATATTATTTCCATTTAGCTCATCAGCTGTGAAACATTTTAATATTAATCCGTGATTCATCAAATTTTTGGTGATGGTACCACTAAATCTCTTACGTCAAAGTGAATAGGACATGGGTCTTACATTATCAGTCATCTACTGTTTAATATTTGTGTGACATCGTTGATTGTCAAAAAGCAGTTGTTAGAGTCGTTTAAAGTCTCCTTAGCGTATTCGGCAAAGATCTTGCCGTATTTCACCATGTGATCCAGGTCGACGATTTCTTTCTCGTTCTACTTCAAAGTGGCCCTTAACATCGTTGTCACCAAGAATAAGTTTTTTATAATAGCCTTTTTCACCTGATAAGGAAACATGTTATTTAATAATCAGCACAAAATTACTGTTTTACAGATCTAACCGCTCCGGTGGCCTAGTGGTTAGAGCATCCGCCTCGGGTGCGGCAGGTCATGGATTCCATCCCCGGTCGAGTCATACAAAAGACTTACAAAAATGGTACTAACAGATGCCTCGCTTGACGCTCAGCATTAAGAGGTTAGTGTTAGGACTGGTCGGCCTGGTGTCAGGATAATGTGACTGGGTGGGTCATCATGCTACATGTCTGCGGCATGATGCCCCAGTGCTAGACATCACTATAAACTGCCACAATGCAGTCATCGTAGCGATATGACTGAAAAATTGTTAAAGCTACGTTAAAAATTATAAACACCTTATAAAGACCGTTTTACAGATCTATTTTAAACACGTTTCTGAGATATTCCAACCTCAAGCAAAAATGTGCCAATTTCATGACAGTCTCTCTGTTATATCTAACACATTTATTTTTCTTGACAAGTGCTGACACCTCAAAATTTGTTAACAGTACATTAAACACCGAGTAAGGATCATGTTCAACGAGCACGTTGATTTTGTTTCTCATAAATATCTTGACTGCGTCGAGTAGCAGTTTCTTGTTTAATATTTTAGCTCTGACCATGCGTCTTATTTCGTTTGGCACTTTATCACAGTAATTAGATAAAATTCTTATCAATACCTTGTAAAAAGATTATCAGATCTGCGAGCTGACCTTGACAATGATATCACAGTTTAATGTAACCAGGTGGCAGCACTGAATACCAATACTACTAGAAGTATCAAGTTTGATATAGAAATGTAACAATTTCCTATCATCAAATACAAATTTGCTGATGAACCAGTTACAGTACCTCAAAATGAACAAGTTGATGTAGCAGAGCAATCCAGACATAATGTCGAGTATCAAATTGTTAAGAAGATGAAAAATTTGAATTTTCTATATCTGAGCATAAGATATTTTTGTAGATGCTTAAACCGTTCACGAGGATTGGATAGCTAGAAGTTTAAGGTAGTCAAAATATATCTAATTTGATATTATCTTTAATAAGATTTTGAAAATGATCACAGATCTAAGAAAAATGCGAAGACAGCATTTAATATTGCTGTGTAGACCTGTAAAATATAAGTCCTTACATTTTAAATATGAGAAAATTTATAGTGATTTTATCAAACAACTTTGATTAAATCGCTCGCGATTTATTTTTTAAAAAAAAGTTTTATTTTACTTGTTGGTATCTAACGATTAAAATTTGATTGAATAGAAAAGTTTTATTTCACTTGTTGGTATCTAACTATTAAAAATGTCACCATAACTGTGCAATTTAACTATGGTTGTTTCATCCGCCATGTTAAAATAAGTTTTCGTAGACAACTTTTATTTGTAATCGTTTGACAAAATCTAACTGAAACTGTTTGTGCAAAGCACTTCAAACACTCTACATGCTAGCACGCAGACATATCAGGTTTTGCTTTGTCTTGTTTTATTACTTTTCTAACAATTATTCGTCATCTCGAGATAAAAATTATTGTTGTAATAATTATCAACATCCGTGATGTTTCTGATCTTGGTGTTATTTCAGAAATGACCTGTTTTGTATATGTTGTAGTTGGATCGCCTTTAAATTTATCAACGATCTTTTGTCACACATCTGTTCCTGCTGGAGATGAAAATTCTGTTAAAAGAATATTTGACGCATAAAACTAAATTAGAGCTGTTTTATGAGCTATCCCAAATATGTTTTCAACTATTTTTGAGATGTTTCCGAAGAAACCGCCTATGACATTTCTACGATAAATGCTACATTTTATCACAAAGTGTCTGATGATATTGAGTATGGCCAGTTAAATGCAGTCAGCTAGCTGACTGGTGAGCTAGCTCACTAACAGCAGATGCAGGTAGTTAAGTCACAATTTAGTTACTGAGATCCAGCTGTCTCCCAGACTGGTCAGAAAGTGTCATTGAGATAGATAGATAGATAGATAGATAGATAGATAGATAGATAGATAGATAGATAGATAGATAGATAGATAGATAGATAGATAGATAGATAGATAGATAGATAGATAGATAGATAGATAGATAGATAGATAGATAGATAGATAGATAGATAGATAGATAGATAGATAGATAGATAGATAGATAGATAGATAGATAGATAGATAGATAGATAGATAGATAGATAGATAGATAGATAGATAGATAGATAGATAGATAGATAGATAGATAGATAGATAGATAGATAGATAGATAGATAGATAGATAGATAGATAGATAGATAGATAGATAGATAGATAGATAGATAGATAGATAGATAGACTGGTCAGAAAGTGTCACTGTGACAGATGATATTTGATTTTTCAACGCTGATCGGATAGTATATTATCCGTCTTAGACTTTCATTAACGAACCTGGTGTAAATTGTTTGTCCTTGGCTACGTCGTGCCGAATACGATCCAGTTGAATTCGAGCAGATTATCAAAATTATATTTACATATGTGATATTGAAGGCAGATTCGTTACCATTAGATTCTGATGCAAGATCTGTATTGGTGGAAGATCTGTATTGTTGTTTATTGAATCCGAGCAATGATTCGATTGTTCCTTGTTTACCAAAATCAACAAGCAATTTGTCTTTTTAGTAGCTTTTGTGCTCGTAACGTGTTGTAGTTTGGAATTAAGTCAAAATTATCCGATGAAATACAACTGTTGCCCACGGTTATAAGATATGTTATATTTTTGTTTATATATGTTAATTTGTAAGAACGTTTTGGTATTTTAACAAAATTCCATCCCATAGCGCCACGATTCTCACTACGAATGGAAAATCATCGTAAACATCGGTTTTAACATTTGCCATATAAAGCCAGGCAGTAGCAGATACCAATCATATTGCTAATTACCGTCAAGTTTAATTACAAGATTGTATAACACCGAAAAGTTTGCGCTGTTATGTGACTGGGTGGGACATCATGTCTGAGGTGAGTCGAGCAACATTATCCCGGAAGCAGATTTTTTTGTCCATCAATACGTTTGTCATGGTTTTTGTCATATTCACTGAATAATCTTAAAAAAGTCCAGGATTTGTCTTACAGTTGTGGTTTTGTCCTTAAACTATAAATTTTTGTGCTTATGTTTCAACATCAGCCGACCAATGATATATGATTGAGAGTTAAATATTATAATTCCGGAGGCAGATTTTTGTCCATCAATACCTTTGTCATGGATTTTGTCATATACACTAAATGATCTTAAAAAGTCCACGATTTGTCTTACGGTTGTGATTTTGTCCTTAAACTATCAGTCGTCTTAACCAAAATATCAGTAAAAAGTCCTTTGCATAACAACTAATCTGAAGATATCTTCGTTTTTTTAAAAAAAATTGTCTTCACTTCTTGACCTTTTTCAATAATTTTCAGCAAAATATTTTTACATTATTTGCATTTATCACGTTCACACGAGCGAACGTTACTAAAATTTTGATATTCCTGAGCAACATAATCAGTTTCTAAAAAATGTTAAAATGATCAATTACTATTGGTTCTCCAGATTTTTAAAACGAAAATACGTATTTTATTCCTATTATTAAGCCCTGAAATATAAATGTCTGAAAGCACTTTATTTTCTCTCGCAATTTTTCTTCACGTTTCTTTTTATTTTATATCTTTAAATATCCGTTCAATTTTTTTCAATTATATTCTCAGCAACGTTTGCTTGTTTGTCCTAAAGTAGACCAAGCAATCCTTTTTCTTAAATTTTTTCTACATATTCAGGTGATACTTTACCAATACTAGGCTGTTTGCCAAGCACAAACTTGGTGATCGGTTTAAAAAGTATTGTAGTTTCTTCTTCGGTTTGTTGTTGTCCAGCATGTGCTTGTTCGACTTTCTTCTTAAATGGAGCTAATGTTGGAACATATTTCTCTAAAAGATATATTAGTTTTAAGTCCATTATTGTATATTTCATAATGATTTTTAGTGATCCGAACAATCTAAAAACTTGGCATTTCTACTACTAAACAAATGACCTCGACAAGTTTATTAAATAAGAAAAATATGTGCTTTGCTTTTGTCGCTAAATGATAAAGCTCATCAAATTTATCATTAAAAACATCACCTCATTGCTCTTGTGCTATATTTTGCACATCGATATTATCTTCTAGTCCGGTAAATAGTGCAAATTATTGTGTTTCTTATGTTAAAATTATCGACCTTACAAAACTTTAGTTAATATAAATTTCATTGCATCGTCTGTTTCTGGAAAGTGAGAAGCAAGATTTGATCTTGTCTATCTTACCATTGCTCAACGGGATGTTAACAGATACAATGATTTTATGTTCGTCTGAGTCGAGTTCTGAAACTGTATTAGATCTTCGGGTTGTCTTATAACGAATGTCTTCGCCAGCACCAAGTCCGTTAAGTTCGTTTTTAATTTTTCGTTATTCTCATTCAACAACTCGTACTTATCCTGCTGAGGATTGATAGTGTAGATATAAAGTCGATCATAGTTTCAGATGTCGTTGAACAGCAAGTTCATTAACAAGTTTGATTTACCAGATCCAGTTTGTCCTCCTAAAAGGAAATTAAAATCGGATAATTCATAGTTGTGTTGCTTGTTATTACTCGTTCGGAATCAGACTTGATTATGCTCATCTTGTATATTAGGTGTGCACAAAGTTTTATCGAATAACAATAAAATTACATAAGCCAATACACAAAATTTGGAACATGAGTTCATCTGATAAAACAACTAAGACCAGCGCAGTTCTGACAGATTATCTCAAGAGTTCTGGTGATACAATGACTGGCAATCTCATCATGTCAGGACAGCAAATATTAGATACAGAAACTTCTTATCCTCCTATCAAGATTAATAATACGCAAGCTGTAAATTTTAATCAACTAACCACAGCTGTATCTGCTGGTGGTACAATGACCGGCAATATAGACATGTCGGGAAATAAGATAACAAATCATAGCATATCATATGCGCTAAACAACGCTAATAACACACAAGCTGTAAGTTATAATCAACTAACCACAGATGTATCAAATAATCTTCGTCTTCGCTGGTGGGATAAAGACCAGCGACATGAACATAATAGGTATGATGATAATTAACC